CATTGTAGCCGACAGCTTCCCAACTAATTGGTGGATGAACATTGCAGCTCCTTAAATTCAGGAGTGGGAGCTCAATTTTGTTAGCCAGCTTTGTTAATTAGTTAGTCATGCACATGGTGAATGATTCTAGAATATTCAAGCCTTGTATAATCTCTATAAATACCTTGTAATCTATCAGTAAATAAATTGAAGAAGTTCAGCAATTATCTTCATTATTCCAACTCTGTGTGTCATTTTTCGCGATCGATCTTATATTTTTCTTGCCATTTCTGCTCGCAGGTGCTTGGGTTGGAGTTTGCTTGATTCATTGACTTGGCCAGTTTACTTGGTCAACTATCTAATGATTATGGGATATATAGATGGACCTGACTGGAAAGGATTTTACATTCTTTCCCTGGAAAGAGATTATTATACTTCATCTGTTGGAAGGAAGCTAATGATTTTGCAAACTTTGTGTGATGATATTCTGGATTCTGAAGAGCTAAGAGTAGAAATTGACACGCATGAAGAATCAGAAGTTGGAATAGACTCAGATACAGGGACAACGGTTGCACCTGCTGGTGGACCGACAAGAGTTCATCTGAGATATTCTAAAACTTCTGCCTGCAAGGACAAAGATGCAATGCAAATCATTGCAGAACGCCATGAGATTAAGCCGTCTCTTAATTCTCATTCTTTGGGGTCTGAAATAATCGGACCAATCGAGAGCTCTGTTGTTGGCCAGGATGTTAATGGGGATGAATGCCGTCTTTGTGGTATGGATGGATTTCTGCTGTGTTGTGATGGTTGCCCGTCGTCTTACCATTCAAGATGTTTGGGACTCTGTATATGCCAGAAGGGTTATGGTAATGTCCCGAGTGTAAAATAAATGCAACAGGACCAGAAATTCTGATAGGTACAGCTCTAAGGGCAGGAGAAAATTTCGGCATTGACTGTTATGAACAAGTCTATGTGGGTACTTGTGATCATTTACTTNAATGTGGGCTTATTGGGCCCTATTTGAGTGGTTCTCTTTAACACTCTTCTGGGCCGGGTTCCTATTATAGCCATTGGATGGAGATCTACGGTGGAGATGAAAGTGGTTGGGATATTTTTCTTTGGTTTGACCTATATCACGTGGGTGGATCCCTTGATTCAAATCTCCTCCCCTTCTCGACTGCTTCTAGGGCACGATTCTCTGCCTTCTTTGTGACTGCCCTATTTCTCTGTCTGGTTCGATTCTTCTTGTTCTTCTGGAGTTCACTCTTAACAATCGATTGAAACCTGTCGTAGAAGTGATAACCTGGGTGTTGCTTAGACCTGAAAGAGGGTTAAGCTGTTGGTTCTTTCTCGAAGGATTTTTCGATCAGATTGTGGCTTCACCTTGATTGTTTATGGTAGATTCCTTTTGGATCGATGACCTAGTCAAGTGGGAGTGTTCTTTGCCGGTTCTCATCTCTTTGGACGGCGATTGCCTAGACGTGGAAGGCTGTTCCTGAGCCTGACCTTTTTTCAGTCTACACCTCTGTGAAGAGAAGGGCAGAAGAACGACCAACAGAAAGGAGGAGGCTGCACGGTTGATAGGGAAGTTCCGTTACAGCTTTAAGTTTTCTATTTTGGTTCCTGTTTTTGCTCTGTTTCAGTCACCATAGTTTTTGCCTCTCGATTGATCTCTTTATTGCTATGCTATACAAAATGCTGTGTTACATTCAGTAATGTGGAGGTTTCATTTATATGTTTAAACATCTGTGGAATGACAATGTTATATACTCTGTAAATGACTTGCAAGCTGATCCTGGAACATGTTGTTTTCAGTCCATGTTACCTTTATAATGATATTGGAAATTACATACTGCTTGGATTGAACATCAATGATTTGTGATTGGTTAGATGAGCATGTTATGTTTAGCTTAAATGTCTGGCTTGATCAGTTTATTTTTCCCAACACCCGTCGTCTTACCATTCAAGATGTTTGGGACTCTGCAAAATGTGTATGCCAGAAGGGTTATGGTAATGTCCCGAGTGTAAAATAAATGCAACAGGACCAGAAATTCTGATAGGTACAGCTCTAAGGGCAGGAGAAAATTCCGGCATTGACTGTTATGAACAAGTCTTTGTGGGTACTTGTGATCATTTACTTGTGTATGTTTCTAATGCCTTGTATTCTTTCTACTCTGTCAACCTTCAGAATCTTTCTTTTTTGAACTAAGATAAGTAAGATGATCCACGTGTTGACTTCTTAAATAACATCAAACTCCCCCCGCGCAGAACTTTGTCTCAAATACTATCATAGACAGGACATTCCTAGAGTCCTCCAAGCACTTTATTCGAAAGTGGAGCATGTTACCATGTATTCAAATATATGCCAGGGGATTGTGCAGTACTTGGAAATGCCAGAGGACATGTTACCTCAAAATAGAACGTCTGAAATTGATATTCCGTTAGCAAACAATAAGGAAAGTAGTGAGTGTACTACCCCTTGGCTACGTTGATGTACAAGCCGGTCCTAGAGAATTTTGAAGTTGAGAACACTGGTAGCTGTGAAACTATTAGTTCAGAGAACTTGATCGTTTCATCTCTTAAGAACTCTTTTCAGGAACCCATGCCGAGTGGGAACTTTATGGATACAGAGCTTCCACCTGATCAGGAGGAGAACAGTGTGTCCAAAATAAAACAGTCTAGTTCTCTACTGAAACCCATAATGACTGAACCGGCTATATTTACTGCTTCAGTTGGCCAGGCAGCAGATTGTTTTGAATTAAGCCAACAAAGTACATCAAGTATAACAGAAGTTTCATACTGCAATGTTAACTGCCGGGAGCCAGTCAGTGGTACGTTTATTCGCACTAAAGCTTCTCTTCCTTTCCTGAAACTTACAGACACAGTTGACACAGAATCTTGTAGAAGTTCGTCCAACAGTTTCTTATACACAGGCTCATCCTTCAAGACGCACAGATACATAAATTATTATTTGCATGGAGAATTTGTTGCTTCCGCACCTGCAAATTTGGCTATTCTTATATCGGAAGAAAGTCAGGCCGCTGAATCTCGCTCGTTAGATAACCACAAAAAAGTTATGTCTGCTAGTGTATCTCTACAGGTAAAAGCATTCTCATCAGCAGCTATGCGGTTCTTCTGGCCAATTACTGAGAAGAAGCTTCTGGAAGTCCCAAGTGAAAGGTGTAGATGGTGCTTTTGTTGTAGGGCTCAGGTGGCAAGCAAGAGAGGATGTTTGTTAAATGCAGCTGCTTCAAATGCAACCAAAGGGGCTATGAAGGCCCTTGCAGGATTGTGTTCTGCAAAAAACAGGGAAGGGAGTCTTCCTGGAATTTCAGCATATGTTATGTTCATGGAGGAGAGTTTAGGCGGTCTGGTAGTTGGTCCCTTCCTTAATGACGCTTTCAGGAAACGATAGCGTAAACAGATTGAACTTGCAACCACTTACAATGCTGCAAAGACCCTTTTGCTTGAAGTAAGTTTCTTGCTAAAGCTGGTTTTCGTACTTATTTGTGTTTCCACTCTCTGATTATTGATCAGTCCGATCAAGTCTTATGGGCAGTAGATGTGAAGGCACCATTGCTTTGATGATGCAAGTAGTACTTGACTGTCCAGTGTTCATGTGACACTGTTTTTATCTATGCGACGTGCGTGTTTATCTTTTCTTGCTCTCCATGTACAAGGAACCTGGGTAGCAAGAAATTTAGTATTTTATAATATATTATCTTGATCTTTCACGGGGTTGAGATTTCCCTCTTGACCATTTACCCAAACGACTGATAGTTAATAGATACAGCTGATATTTTGCTTATGATATTTTTTGTTGAACTTTGTATACTTTCAGTTGCATGATGGTGTTTGAGTTTTCAGCTTGAGGAGAACATACGCACTATTGCTCTTTCTGGAGATTGGGTGAAGCTTGGTGATGGTTGTTCAACTGAATCTTCTGCCTCTCAGAGTGCTGCCAGTGCTGCTGGATCTACTCAGAAGCATAGACCAGGGAGGCGTGGCAGGAAGCCATCTGCTGTGGCTGAAGTTGCTATTGATTGCCAGGACTTGTTAAGTGATTTCACTTGGTGGGGAGGAGGAACACTATCAAAGCGTATATTCCAGAGAGGGATTCTTCCATGTTCAATGATAAAAAATGCAGCCCGGCAAGGTAATAAAGACACTCCCAGCTTTTCTTGTTTTGTGGAAAAATCTCATTGCTTAGTACCTTTGTTTTGTGATGTTTGCACTGTTTTGTAGAATTACCATTTCAATAGATCTGAAAGTAGTTTATGTTAGCATACAGGTGGTTCAAAAAAGATACCTGGTATTCATTGTGTCAAAGGTTATGAGACTCCCAAAAGAAGCAGGCAGCTTGTCTGGC